TTGTGGCAATGCAGGAGGCCCAGGATGGACATGTCGTCCAAGGAGTGGGAGGGGGAGTTGAAATGGTTCGCGGCTGGGAGGTGTAGTTGTTTGTTGCGAACCGAGCGTAGGTGTGGGTGGTGTCACGGACGTAGGTGGGGAGTTCCTGGACCAAGGGGGAGAAAATGGAGTCGAGATAAGTGGAGATGAGTTCGGTGGGGCAGGAGCAGGCGGAGACAATGGGTCGACCAGGGCAGTCAGGTTTGTGGATTTTGGGAAGGAGATAGAAACGGGCGGTGCGGGGTTGGGGAACGATGAGGTTAGAGGCTGTGGGTGGGAGGTCACCTGAAGTGATGAGGTTGTGGATGGTCTGGGAGATGATGGTTTGGTGGTTGGGGGTGGGATCATGATCAAGGGGGCGGTAGGAGGTCTCAGAGAGTTGGCGTCTGGCCTCGGCAATGTAGAGGTCAGTGTGCCTTACTACAACTGCGCCTCCCTTGTCTGTGGGTTTTATGGTGAGGTTAGGGTTGGAGCGGAGGGCTGCCTGTTCTGTAGGGGAGAGGTTGGAGTGGGTGAGAGGGATGGAGAGGTTGAGGCGATTGATGTCTCGACGGCAGTTAGAGATGAAGAGGTCGAGGGAGGGTAGGAGGCCTTGGGGTGGTGTCCAGAAGGAGGAGGTGTGTTGGAGGTGGGAGAAGGGGTCAGTAGAGGGAGGGTTAGGCTCACAATTAAAGAAGTAAGCGCGGAGGCAAAATTGTTCAAGTCCAAATGTGAGTTGTATTTGATGTTTAGGTGGAGGGGGACAAAGGTGAGTCCTTTACTGAGGACTGACTGTTCATCCTCAGTAAGGGGGAAGTCTGGAGGGATGGTAAAGACCCGGCAGGGCTGAGTGCTGCTGTCTCCTCTAGAGCTGGAGAGAGAGAGACGCGCATTCGTTTCGCCGTTTGTCTGGCACAGAAGTTGAAATGTTAACTTTGCTTTCTTGCCACAGATGCTGCCAGGCTTGCTAAGTTTCTCCAGCAGTTTCTGCTTTTGTGACCCTGGGCCTGATTCTCCCTCCCTCGGCGCTGACAGCTGCCCAGATTCCCTTCGCAGGCTTGTGAGCGGAGAGTTCCCCCTGTATGATCTGTGCAGCATCAAAATCTGCAAATGCTGGAATCGTGAAACAAAAAATAGATGGTTTCTGTTGAGGGGCCCTGGAACCGAAAGTATTCAGACAATCCGCAAAATGGGCAATTCTCTGGCTCTGAAACTTTTGGAGCGTTCTGTGTCTGTTGGGTTAATAGTGACCTTGGGGGAGCTGGACTATTAAAAGCCTGTGCTAGCTCCCGTGTAAATATTACATGGGTGCCTTGATTTATCACAGCCGCCCAAACTCTCTTCGTCCCCTACCCAGCCACCGCTTTACCTGACAGCGTCTCCACCCCCAGCCCTCATGAACCGACACCATAGCACCCCCTTACCTTTTGTTGTACATTTAAATCTCAAAATAGGTCGACTGACTATGATAAAGGATGTATCTGGTTAATTCCCGGCTAGAAGCGTAAAGCTTAATACAGTAAAATCGCCATAGTCTTAACAGACTATAAGGGTTGATATCTCATTACAGAGACACCACTGGTGGCATTTTAACCTGAGGGTTACTACGCCTCAGATGAGGAGAGAGAATGAGAAGGTGAGTCTTCGACTTAGACCCCCTCCGGCCCAACAAGTCCACACCAACTCTCTCAGCATCCCACCCAGACCCATCCCCATCCCTCTATAACCCACCTAATCTACACATCCCTGCACACTACAGGCAATTTAGCATGGCCAATCCACCTAGCCTGCACATCTTTGGACAGTGGGAGGAAACCGGAGCACCTGAAGGAAACCCACGCAGACATTGGGAGAATGTGCAAACTCCACACAGACAGTTGGCCGAGAGTGGAATCAAACCCAGGCCGCTGGTGCTGTGAGGCAGCAGTGCTAACCACTGAACCACCGTAAAATCTCAGCAGTATAGGGTGTTGATTAGTTCACTTGGCTGAATAGCCAGTTTGCAATACGGTATGAACGGTATAAGTGATGCAACAACCTGACTGAGATTGACCCCTCCTTAGAGTATCGGGATCATTAAATCAATTTTTTTCCAAAGAAACATGGTGCTGGCAAAACGGAGCAGATCTCGCAGCATCTATGGAGAGAAAGAATTAACGCTTTGAAGCCAATATGACTTCTTTCCAGTTCTATTTCAGATCTCCGGCATCTGTAGTACTTTGCTTTTATTTTTCCATTGAAGCTGCTGGCCCTGCTGAGCATTTTTGTTTTGCTACAGGGACTCTGACTTGTACAGCTAGGGCAGGCAAGAATTATGTCTTTCAATCTTGCACAATCTTCTATGAAATACCAAAACACATAAAACAGGGAGTAAAAATTAAATTTAAATGTTCATGTTAAACATTTCATGTTTATGAAAATGCAGCTGGGATTAAGGACTGTGGAATTTAAGGATTTGTTTCAGGTCAGTGCTACACCAGGGGTAGTGTTCTAAGTTTGTTTCAGTTAATAATTTGAATGTGCCGTTTTCCAAAACATTAATAATTATCCAATGCTGATTTGTTTCCTAGTAACCTGATTCAGCAGGTTACTTTTCCAATCAGAATGAGTGCCTGTTCATGTGCCAGAGCCTAAAATTTTGAGGTCACCTGATTCTCTATACTTAATAGATACAGAAGTTAGAAAGATAGGTATGCCTCATAATAAAGAAAATTAAGTTTGTACAAATCAACTTAATTCTGCAATCTCACCTTGCAGAAGATATCATCAGCCCTTAATTTTTGAAAAAAATCATCAAAACAGATTCTTTGATATTACAATGCTATATGTGGGACCTTACTATGTGTAGATTGAAGGCTGTATTTGATACATAACAATAACTGTACTGAATTAGCTATAAAGCATTTTGGGATTTTCTGTCATTATGAATAGTATTTTTTTTCTTTAGAAGTGAAAGACACTCATTAGTAAGCCCCTTTGAGTCAGTGATTATATGATTCATAGTAATTAGATGTTATGAAGCAGGAATACTTCAGACAAAATTAATCTTGCTTTTTGTGCATTCGATCAATGCTTGAAAAAAAATGCTGGAGTGGCAAACAATTTTTTCCCAAAATTTCCTAGAAAATTGATTCAAAGGGCAACCAATTAGAAAAAAGTGGGTCTCTCCCAATTGGATAGAATTGGTGAGGAGCTGTTAAAAGGTTGATTCTCTCCCACGCTTTCTGCTGATAGTAATACTATCAGAGATGCAGCCTGTGATTGAAGCAGTGAGGCAAATGGCGGCAGCAAGCAAGGTTGGAGGTAGCCAGGGTGGATGCTTTGGGAGAATGGGCTGTGAGACTGCAGGCTGAAGTTTGAGTCCAAGGAACAACAACAGGGAGGAGATCATCCCTCTTGGTTTCATGTACTTTCTACCTTAACACCCAATTTATATAACTACTTGACTTTAGTAAGAAATGTAAACCATACTTATAATATGTTCCCTTATTTGTAAAAAGATAGTCACCCCATACAAAGTAACTAGTCTGGACATTTCTTGTTTGTGAAGTCTTTAAATTATTGCAATTTGTCTTTTTTTAAATAGCTACGAGAAGCCACCACCAGGAATGATTAAGGTTAGTCATAAATTGAATTGATGCACTTATTAATATTGACAAATGTGTTTTTAAAAAAAACTGTTTTTGGTTGTTGGTTATTCTGCAATAATCACAATCCCAAAGCAAATAGATTGATAGGTTGATAGATCCTTGCCTCATTTCCTGCTGTTGCATAACACTTGGTGACGAATGAGAGAGTGAGGTGACTCTCGCTCTTAATTTTTGTTTGTGTATTAATACCAGTATCCTAGTGTTCTGAGATTAAAATCTTACTTGGTAAAGAATAATGTCCAAGAGCCAGTATCGAAATTCTTATTGTATGTAGCACGTCAATTTAATGCACTACACATCTGTTCTAAGTCATATGAAACGTTAGCATTGTGTTATTTTGTAGTTTTCATACCTACAATGGATTTTTAAGAAATTAAACTGGTGCCAGTCAAAAGTTTGTGTTACAAACAAACAAGAAGTCCACCATTGTAATATAATGTTAGTCTTACAAATATATCACTAAGTTACTTAAAACTATATAAAATGTATATCTTCTTCCCCTGCAATCCTAACACACCAAAATAATGGTTTAGAAAAAAAAACAAATGCACATTTATGGACTGATAGCCCCAAGCAACGTCACCTCCTAAGGTTTTTGACAATGAAAGGTGGAGTTGGATCCTGAATTAATAATGCAAAAGGAATTTAACTGAGGGTCCTATCCCCATTTTTATACTTTAACTATTGTCTTCATGGTGACCTGTTTCCTTTATTATAAAATCAAATCTTCCAGGGGTGCATAATCATTTTGGTACAGAACCGTCCTCTGCAACTTGATAATCTTGGTTCCATCCTTATTGCTTTCTGTCTTTGATTTGTGTAGTTCTCCTAGTGTTTAGTCAAAGAAGAGTAGAAGGAGGCAGAAAAAATGATGAGATGTGGTTGGGTACATATTTTTACATAGTGTTGTGGTGTTTTGCACACAACATTGAACAGTACTTTTGCAACAACTCTGTACTGTTGAAGTAGAATTCTGTATCCAGTATATGTATTACTTGAATGCTACTAACACTTAAAGTAACTGGCCTATATCTGTGACAAAGTCATGTGTCTTGTAGTTTGCTGTACAAGTCATAGTCTGACCTTTCACCTGGTCTAAAATAGAGGTGAATTCTTATGAATTGACATGTAATCCTAAATGTAACAAATTGGTTTTCTTGCCTATTTCCTCTGAAATTAATACTCAAAAATGTCTGGTTATAAATGCTTATTTCATGTCACAAAAGTTCCCCAGTAATGTCATGAAGTTGGAGAGCTAAACATGCTCCTACTTTTTCAGTAGAAAGGTGATCTGCATGAAAAATTTCCTTCCAGCATGGTGTAACCAGCCATTTGGGCTCAGAGCTTAGTCTTGTAGTTTTAATACCTACAATGGAGTTTTAAAAAGTTAAACTGGTGCCAATCAAAAGTTTGAGTTATAAGCAAACAAGAATTCTGCCATTGTAATATAATGCTCCAAATCACTCTTAACATAAACATGATAAAACATTAGGCAGTGTCTTGTGTGTATTTATTTTAACACTATATGACACTTGGCTTTCAAATAGAAATTGGATAAAGAAACTGAAAGAAAATAAATGTAGAGCTGGAGGAAAGAGCAGGAGAAATAGTTCAATTTCCCTTGCATAGGACCAGCATGGACAAAGCAGGCCAAATGGCTGCCTACAGTGTGTCATCATTCAATGATTCTAACATGATGAGGTTCAGTAAAATGTACAAATATGTCTTCATTACAATTAAGTCTATTTAGGAATTCAAGATAATGCCTTTCTCTTTTCAGTGAGAGAAATGACTCGTAAAGTTGAATCTAGACAACATTTTAGCATGTGATTTAAGTAATTGAGGATCTGACTTGGCAGTAGGAATTTTAGAATTAACTTTGGTTTTCTGTGGGCTTTGTGCAATGGGAAATAAACAGTTTCTGCTGCTGTGACTTGTGACTAGTTCAGTAATCTGTGGGTGTGAGGTGAGGGTTTAGCTATGACAAGCCACTGTGGTGAAAAAGCTTATGGCTAATGACTATCCACGTTCTTGTCTTAAGGTAACCACTAAGGAAAGCAGGACACACTATGGTATCTATAGAACTATAATCCAGCATGAATCATTGCCTTTAATAAAGGGAAGCAAGCATAGAAATTTAAGGGAAAATGTTGATGTTGAGAATGAGAATAAATAATGAAAAATAAGTTGTTTTGTCATACATTTCTGATTATTTGCAGGAATGAGATACAGACGTTAGAATGTTTTTTATTAAAAAAAACAGAATGTAGGTTTTTCTCAGTTAACAATGAAACTACTAAAATGCAATTTTGAAAATGTGTGATTATAGAATAGAATAAAATAAAATCCCTACAGTCTGGAAGCAGACCATTCGGCCCAACAAGTCCACACCGATATTCAAAGCATCCCACCCAGACCCATCCCCCTAATCTACACATCCCTGAACACTACGGGCAATTTAGCATGGCCAATCCACTTAGCCTGCACATCTTTGGAGTGTGGGGAGCACCCGGAGGAAACCCATGCAGACACGTGGAGAATGTGCAAACTCCACACAGACAGTCGCCCAGCAGTGGAATTGAACCCGGGTCCCTGGCGCTCTGAGGCTGCAGTGCTAACCACTGAGCCACCGTGCCGCCCCATTTCTTATCATTACAGTCATTATCTGGTTTTCATTTCTTCACCCCGTTCTCCACCCACATTTGCAGGAAACAAAATTAATTCCCTACAGTTTTGGGTCTAAATCGTTCTGCATAATGTAAAATATTACGCAATATTTGCAATATTTATAAGACCTGTAAAATGAATTGTGTACTCAGGAAAATGATGACAAGCCTGAAGACTGTATTCCAGACCTGCCAGGCAATGAAGAAGCAAGAGATTTCCTGGCACATGCTCCTACCAAAGGACTTTGGATGCCATTGGGAAAAGAAGTGAAAGTCATGCAATGTAAGCAGAATCTTGTTAATGCTACATATTCACTTGGGAACTGAAGCAAAGGGAGTAAATATGTCCATATTTAAGTACAGTAAAATTGTGGTAAATCAAATTGGAGGGGTTCACCCACAAATTCATGTTAAGTGGTGATTAAACACAGCAGCAGAAGCCCCTGTATACCTGATTTACTTACACATGCATGTGTCAAAAAAAAGTCAAATGAAAACGATGAAGCAGTGAATATGGGAAAATGGCTTTTCTCTCTGTTTTTCCTGCTGTCAAATTTGTTTAAAAGATTACTCAGCTTTTCTAGAACTAGCTCCCAAATTTGTTTAAAATTTAGGAGCTAGTTTGAAAAGCTGAGTAATCTTTTTCTGCTTTGCGTGCTATCTTTGCATGAGTGCAGCATAATTCACCATGTCATCAATACACCCAGACATGTTTTTGTCTTCAGATTCAAACCATTAAATCTTCCTTTTTCCACAGATCTTGCTAGAGGTGTTGAGTTTCTCCAGCATCTGCTGTTTCATTCCAGTTTTCCAGCATCTGCAGTATTTGGCTTTTGACTGTCTTTGTGCTGCAGTGTGAAATCCAGGAATGTCTCTGTGGCACTTGTGGCTTCAGCTAAATAAATAGGCATTTGTTGGACTGTTCAGGGTCATCTGTGAGATCCATTGTGCAATATACTGTAGTGTCCACTTTGACATAAGTTTTGGTGATTACCTCTATTGGAATTTCCATTCCAACCTCCTGCAGAAGTGTTGAAAGATCCTCATCACCAGATTGGTTGGCCTTACTCATTTCTTCCTTGTTCTTGTCATCTTGCACAATTCTAGCCTGTTTTAACCCAGTGATGCAGAAGTAGTTAGCTATTGTTGCCTCTGTTCAGGATGTGGATGAGACCATGTTGCAGTCAGTCATCTGACATTGCCATCATAAGTGCATATTCCTTACTGCTTACCGTGTGGAAGACAATGCTGTACTTTGTCCTGAAATAACCCACTCATCTGTCATCCACCCTCTTTGCCAGCGTGATTTCCTTTCAATGCAGGATTGGACTAGAGATGGGAGAGGTCTGTGGTTGAGCTGTCTTGAATCATGTTACATAGCTCCTTTGTCATGATAGGCAGCCATTCTCAGCCCCTTCTTTGCTGGAGAGAATGCCTGTTTTGTTAAACAGTTCCAGGATGTTTGCATTGTGCTTCAAAATAGTTGACAAGCCTGATGGTGGAATCTCCCACTCCTTAGCAATTTTTGTCTTGTTCCGCATGTACTGTATCAACTTCACATCTCCAGTCAACAGCACTTTAACTTTTTTGCAGGTTTGATTATACTTGGAAAAAATTGAATGTCCTTTCACGGGGAGACCTAGATGTCAAATATGGTTTTTCAGTGATTTTTGTGGTGTAGCATGGCTTACCTCCTCTTTGGTTGGTGTAGTGATTTGATAAGTGGCATGTGTTTGGTTATTCCATAGTTACTTTTCCACACCTTCTCTTAGCATGGACACCCTTCTTTTGGATTTGTGGTTCTGTTGGCGGGAATATCTGATAACTTTACCTTAATCGAAGTTTCAAGTTATCCAAGGTGTGGAGGTGCCAATGTTGGGCTGTAGTGGACAAGGTCAGAAGTCACACGACACCAGGTTTATTTGAAATCACAAGCTTTTGGAGCATTGCCCCTTTGTCAGATGAAGTGAAGAAAAGCATGTAGGCACAGAATTTATGGGCAGAGAAGTCAAAAGATCATACAAATGGTGAGAGTAAAATGTCGAATAATAAGTCTCCATAGATGATCAAAAGTGTCGGGTGGTGTGAGTGAAGTATCAACAGCTGAATAGTAAGTGAAGGGAATGACCGAGAAGCCAATTACTTGAGGCAGAGAGATAATTACCTTTGCCTCAAACAGATGTAGTAGCACAGTTGCAAGGCATTTGCCTGGGAATCCTCAACATTGACTCCAGGCTCTTTGAGGTCTCTTGACATCAAATCAAAAATGGGCAAGGAAGCTTAAAAGCATAAGAAATGAGTAGTGGAGTACAATATGAACTGTTGTGTCTAATGTGCTAATCCATATCATCCTGATTCATCTGGGTTTCAACTCCTCTTTTCTACCCACCACCCATATCTCTCAGTACCTTAAGACATAAATCTGTCTCTCAGTCCTTGAGTATATTTATGGTCACAAATCCACAATCCTCTGGAATAGAGGAGCATTTCAGGACTTTAGGTCTGTACTCAGTGGAGTTTAGAAGGTCGGGGGTGGTTCTCATTGAAACTTACAGAATACTGAGAGGCCTGATTAGAGTGGATGTGGAGAAGATGTCTCCACTAGTAAGAGACACTACTACCCAAGGGTACAGCCTCAGAGTGTTGGGATGACACTTTAGAACCGAGATGAGGAGAAATCTCTTGTGCCAGAGGGTGGTTCACCTGTGGAACTCATTGCTGTAGAAGGCTGTGAAGGCCCAAGTTGTTGAATGTACTTAAGACAACAATAGATATGTTCTTGATTAGTAAGGGGATCAAAGATTATGGACAGAAGGCAGTAGAATAGAGTTGAGAAACATATCAGCCATGACTCAGTGGGCCAAACGGCCTAATTCTGCTCCGATATCTTATAGTCTTATGAAAATTGAAAAAATTCTCATAACCATTTGAGAGAACTCATTTCTCGTCATCAGTCCTGAATGATTGGCCTTTTATCCTGAGACTATGCCCCTTGTTTGAGATTTCCAAGCCAGGAAAAAAAGCATCTCCATATTCAATCTTTAAGATCCTCCTTCATCTTGAATATTTCAATACAATAATCCCTCATTCAAATATGGACCCAATTTACTTAAACTTTCATCACAGGAGCACCCCTAGGAACACATAGCGGACCTTTGTGGCACTTGCAAGCACATTTTTTCTTAAATATGGAGACTAAAATGGCACACACTATTCCAAGTATCATCTCACCTAAGCCCTATACAATTGATAAAGGGAAAGAAGGAAGCATATATTAGATACAGAGCTATAAAAACAGGGGAGTCCTTTCAGGAATATACAATGTCTAAAGAGGTGCCTAAAAAAGAAATTAGGAAGCCAAAGAGGTGCCACAAAATATCTTTGGCCAATAGAATTTAGGAAAACCCCAAGGCATTTCATAAGTATATTAACATCGAGGATTGCCTGGAGGAAAAAGGATTAGAGACCAAAGGGGCAACTTGTGTGTGAAGCCAGAGGATGTGGGTAGATTCTAAATAAATTAATATTTTTCATCTATTCACAAAGGTGAAAGACATTGTAACTGGAGATTTCAGTTGGGATGGTGAGGTTCTAAAGCATGTTAAGATTATTAAGGAGGAAGTATTAGGTGTTTTAGTGGGCATAAAAATGCATTAATCCCCAGGGCCAGATGAAATGTATCCCTGGCTGCTATGGGAGGCAAGGAAGGTGATTGTGGAGCCCTGGCAGAGATATTTAATACTTTGATAGTCACAGGTAAAGTGCCAGATGACTGGAAGATAGCTAATGTTGTTCCTTTGTTCAAGAAGGACAGCAGGGATAGGCCAGGTAATTACAGACCAATAAGTCTGACATCAACAATAAGGAAAATTCTGAGGGACAGGATTAATCAACATCTGGAAAGGCAGGGATTGCTCAGAGTTAGTCAGCAGAGATTTGAGGAGGAAAATCCTGCCTGACTAATTTAGTTAGAGCAGTTGTGGTTTCTATAGACTTCAGTCAGCCCTTTGACAAGTTCCCATGTAGAAGGCTGGTCCAGAACTAAGGGCCCATGGGATTCATGGCAAGTTGGTAAACTGGATCCAAAATTGGTTTGTGAATAAGAGGCAAAGGGTGATAGTGGTAAGGTTATTTTTATGATTGGAAGCCTGTGATCAGTGGTGCTGGGACTCTTGTTTGTTATGTACATTAATGACTTGGATGTGAATGCAGAAGGTAGAGTTAGTAAGTTTGCAAATGGTGTGAAAAGTGGTGGTGTTGTTGATTGTGAGGAGAATGGTCTCAGGTTGCAGTCTGATAATTGATCAGCTGGTAAATTGGGCAGAGCAGTGGCAGAAGAAATTTAAACCTGATAAGTGTGAAGTATTGCATTTTGGGAGGGTTAATAAGGGAAATACCTACACAATGAATAGTAAGTCCTTAGAGAGTACTGTAGAACAAAGGGACCATGGTGTACAAGCCCTTGGATCCCTGAAGAAGGCATACAGGATGCTTGTCTTAAGTATCCAAGGAGCATGGAAAACTGGTTAGGCCACAGATTGAATGCAATATGCAGTTTTGTCACCACACTATTGGAAGGATGTGGTGCACTGAGAAGGTTTACAGGAGATTCACCAGGATGTTGCTTTGGATGCAGAGTCTGTTACAATGAGAGACTGAAAAAGCTGGGTTTGTTTTCCTTGGAACACATAAGGGTGATGGGGTTCTACAAAGGAAGTATAAAAAATTGAGTGGTGTAGAAGGGGTAGATAGTGAGAATCTTTTCCCCATAGCAGACTTCTATCGAAGACCACATGGCTTAGGCTTAAGGTGAAGATTAAGAGGGGATTTGAGGAAAAAATTTTTTCACTGTTTTGTATAAATATGGAACACACTGCCTGAAAGGATGGTGGAGGTGTGTATTCTTGCAACATTTAAGGAGCACCTGGTCAAGCATGTAAATGCTAGGATATAGTAGGCTTTGGGCCAAGTGCAAGTAAATGGGATTAGTATAGTTTGGTGTTTGTTGGTTGGCATAGAAGTGGTGGGCCAAAGGGCTTGTTTCTATGCTGTATGTTTCTATGCTGTATGATTCTACTTATTGCAAAACAAGACACCATTCTTTTACCTGATAGTATGTTTATTCATGGAATGCAAACTTACAGATGCCTCTTATCCACCACCTCTGTGTCTCAGTTAATTCTGTCTCTACTTTTTCAGTTACTAACTAAACCAAATAACTAGTTTTGAGAGAAAATTCCATCTTCACATTGAAGATACCCTCCATTGTGATGCGTGGTTCTACCACTCTGCAAAATGAAATTGATTTCAAACAGATAAAAACTGAGCCTCCTTGTGGCATTGTAGGTCATCAGCAGCAGCATTAATGCCCTTTTGAGCCTGGTCTGCCATTTGACAAAATCAAGTTTGATCTGATTGTGACCTCCACGCCCAATTTCAGTGTAATTGTATTCAATCTGTAACACCGTACCCTGGCATATCCCCCATTCTACTAATGTCATCAAGCTAAGGGATAAACCCTTGTTCAGTGAAGAATGTAGGAGGGAAAGCCAGGAACAGCAGCAGACATAACTAAAAATGAGATAGCTTCATTATTCCACTATCATGCAGGATTACTTTCAGAAGCAGCATGTGATAAACAAGAGTTAACTGATTCCAAATGTAATGCACTAAATCTAAACTCTGCTTTCCTCCACATACAGTGGTGAATGGTGGTACACAGTTAAACAGTTAACAGGTGGAGGATGTTCCATAAATATCCCCATTTTCAATGATGAGTGAGACTGGCACATCAGTGAAAGATGCAAAGCTGGAGCATTTGCAACCACCTTCAGCCAGAAGTATTGAGTATCCAACTTGGTCTCTCCTAAGACACCCAGCATCACAGATGCCTGTGTTCAGTCAATTCAGTTCACTGTATGCGGTATCAAGAAATTGCTGAAGATATTGGGATATTACAAAGGCTATCGACCCAAGACTGAAGAAGTGCTTCAGAACTAGCCATGTCCCTGGATAATTTGTTCCAGTGCAGCTATAATACTAAGATCTACCTAACAAAAATTTCCCAGGTGTGTCCTGTCTACAAATAGCAAGCCAAATCGAAACCAGTTACTCAGCTTGCTCACTGACCTTTGGTTGGATTCCTTCAGAGAAACTCTAGTTCTTGACTTCATTACTATCTGGCTCCAAATAGCTGAACTCCAGTGGTGAGATGAGAGTGACTGCCCTTGACATTGAGGGAACATTTGGTCAATTGTGATATCAAGGAGTCAATGGGAAGAGTATGTGTGGATGTGTATATGGGGGGTATTCAGCAATATCTGGACATCCAGCTTGGCCTGATAAGTGGCAAATAATATTCATGCTACACAATTGCTAAGCAATGACTGACTGACTGTCTCCAACAAGAGAGAATCTAACTATCTGTCCTTGGCATTTAATGACTTTACCATCAGGGCATCTTCTCTTCACACGCCCCCCCCACCCACCCATCAACATCCACTAAGTTTACCTTAGAATAAAAGCTGAGCTGGATCAGCAATGCAAATAGCATATCAACAAGAGCAAGTCAGAGCCTGGGAATTGTGCAGAATGTAACTTGCTTTCCAAAACTTGAAAGACAGGTTGGTAGTTTGATTGAATTCTCTCCACTTGCTTGAATAAGTGCTGCTTCAACCACCTTCAAGAACCTCAGCACTATCCAGGAAACAGCAGCCCTTATGATTCACAAACCCATCCACCACCTTAATCATTCACTACCTCCGCCTGCACACAATGGCAGCAGTGTGTCCTGTCTACAGTTTGCAGAGAGACAACTCACCAAGGCCCCTTTGACAGCACCATCTAGGCCTATGACTTCTCCCTAGTAGGACATGGGCAGTAGATATATGGGAACGGAAGCAGCTGTATGTTTCCTTTCAAGTCGCACCCTTCCTGATTTGGAACTATTTAATCAGTTTTTTGTTGTAGGTTAAGTCCCTCCTTAACAGCACTGTGATATACCTGCATCACATGGACTGCAGCGGTTCAAGAACGTAGCTCACTATCACCTTCTCAAGGTGTGAGCAATAAATGTTGGCGTTGCTGATACACACACATCCCTTGAACAAGTTTTTTTTGTCGTTAAAAACTGACTTTGCTCAGTTGAAAAGCTGGTGCCTGTCAGGCTGGACTAATCTGAGTTTCAGACACATTCAGTCCCTCCACTCTGCTTGCAGTAAAATTTCCCATTCATATGCAGCCCACTGTTTGCAATCCTGCTCTGGATACTGTTGAAATTGTTGAAGTATACATGGCTAAAGTAAAATTTCTTAAAGTTAGCAATACTTCGCGAAATATAGGATGTTCTTGTTTGGAACAGATTTTGGAGCATGTATTTTGTATTGAAATTGACAGTAGAAGAGCTGTGCAGTTTGTCTGCAGTAAAACCTAATGTTGGCAGATATGATTACTTGAAAATCTGTCTCTGAAGTTTCAACAATGTGATTGTAGGAATTAGGAACTGGAATAGGCTGTTCACCCCCTCGAATCTGCTCCACCATTCAGTAATATCATGGCTGATCTGATGGTAACCTCAAATTTGTATTCCTGCTTACCCCTGACAATCTTTCACTCTTGACAAGAATCTGTCTACCTCTGCCTTAAGATATTCAAGGATTCTGCTTTCACCACCTTCTCAAGTTCCAAAGACACTCAACTCTCAGGAAAAATAGTTTTGCCTCGTTTTAAATTGATGGCCCCTGATTTTAAAACAGGGATGTCTAGTTCTAGTTCTCTTACAAGAGGAAACCTTCTCTCCACTTCTACCCTGTCAAGACCTCTCAGGATCATTTCAGCTAGTCTTGCTCTTTTAAACTCTAGTGGATACAAGCATATCCTGTCCAGTCGTTCCTCATGAGACGGCCCACTCATTCCAGGAATTAGTCTGGTAAACCTTCTCTGAACAGCCTCCAATATATTTACCTTATTTAAAGAAGAATGTAATCGATACTGTACACAATTCTGTACGGGCTACAGATCTGCTTTTATGTTCAAACCCCTCTGCAGTAAACAATAACATTCTGTTAGCTTTCCTAAATATTTGCTGTACTTTTTGCAATTCAGACAATTTGATGCTCAGTTCCCTCTGTATCTCAGAGCATTGCAAAATCTCATTATTTAGTTAATAGGGTTTTTTTTATTCTACCTACCAAAATGGACAATTTCACATTTTCCCACGTTATACTCCTATCTGTCACATCTTTGACTATTCACTTAATCTATCTGTAATTTTTTGAAGGCTCCTTGAGTCTGCTTCACACCTTACTTTCATACCTATCTTTGTGTTGTCAGCAAATTTGGCAACCATTCCTTCACTCCCTTCATCTAAGTAATTTATATAAATTATGAACAGTTAATACTCCAGCACTGATCCCTGTAGCGCACAACTTGCCAATATGCTACCCTTACATCATGACCTTTTCTGTACTAAGCTTTAATGTAGCATCTTATCAAATGCCTTCTCTAAATCCAAATACGAACAGTACATCTCTCCATCCCCTTTTTTAACCAGAGCATATTTTACTTCCTTGGAGAATTCTAATGGATTTGTCAAGCACGATTTTTCTTTCACAAACCGTGTTGTCTCTGCCTGATTACCTTCAACTTATCTAAGTGACCTGTTACAACTTCAGTAGTTTAATTTGGCTTCAAAGTTTGTTTTCCTTCATTGATAGCATTTGGAAATGTTCAAAGGTTAGCACTGAAGAATTGCTATCAGTTGTTACTTTTACTATTTCTCACTGTTGTTTCCAGGCTGGAGATGCAAAAATTTTGGACACAGAACCGGGGATAGAGAATGTCCCTATTTCATCAGTGGCAATCAGAAATTGGAACAGTTCAGAGTAGTAAGTCAGAAAAAATTTCATTCTTTGCTTCTAAAAATTGGTTAAATTATGGGCTAATCAGAAAGTTGAGGGCAAGCCTCAGTTTGGGATTCCTACAAACACTTGTTTTAGTAACACTGATATGCTGGGCTTTCATTTGTGTAGGGAGCCATCAGTGACAACTATATAGAAAGTTTTAACTTGTAATATTAGGTTGATTGGCAGGGTTGGAGAGTGAGGTGCAGAAATCGCACAGGGCAGTTTGGGGGCCTCAGACACTAAGTGGAGAGGGAGATTCAGAGAGGTTGGAGCCTTACACGGATGAGTTTTTTTAGATATATAGAGGGAAAAAGTGAACATTGGGCTGCTGGAAAATGACACTGGAGAAGTAGTAATGGGGAACAAAAGTGGCGAAAGAATTGAACAAGTACTTTGCATCAGTCTTCACGGTAGAAGACACGAGTAACATCCCAAAAATTCAAGAGTTGGGGGGCAGTGGTGAGTATGGTGGCCATGACCAAAGAGAAGGTGCTAGAAAAACTGAAAGGCCTGAAGGTGGATAAACCACCTAGACCAGATGGATTACACCCCACAGTTCTGAAGGAGATAGCTGAAGAGATAGTGGAAGCATTGGTGGTGATCTTTCGGGAATAACCGGAGTCAGGGAGGGTCCTAGAGGACTGAAAAATTGCTAATGTAACCTCCCCTGCTTAAGAAGAGAGTAAGGCAAAAGATGAGAAATTACATGTTAATTAGCCTGACCTCTGTCATTGGTAAGATTTTGGAGTCCATTTGTGAAGGATGAGATTTCTGAATACTTGGAAGTGCTTGGTAAAATAGAGCGACGTCAGCATGGTTTCATGAAGGAGAGGTCATGCCTGACAAATCTGTTAGAATTTGTTTGAGGAAATAATGATCAGGTTAGACAAAGGAGAGCCAATGGATGTTATCTACTTAGACTTCCAGAAGTCCTTTGTCAAGGAGTCGCACAGTAGGCTTCTCAGTAAGATAAGAACCCATAGTGTTGGAGGTAAGGTACTAGCATGGATAGAAGATTGGCTGTCTGGCAGAAAGCAGAGAGTGGGGATAAAAGGGCCAGTCTGAGGTTGGCAGCTGGTGACTAATGGTGTTCCGCAAGGATCAGTGTTGGGACCACAACTTTTCAGTTTATACATTAATGATCTAGATGAAGGAACTGAGGGCATTCTGGTGAAGTTTGCAGATGATACAAAGATAGGTAGAGGGACAGTGTTGAGGTGGCGGGGAGGTTGCAGAAGGATTTACAGGTTAGGAGAGTGGGCAAAAAAGTGGCAGATGCAATACAGTGTGGGGAAAGTGTGAGGTCATGCGCTTTGGTAGGAAGAATAGAGGCATGTACTATTTTTTTAAATGGGGAGAAAATGCAGAAATCTGAATTGCAAAGACATTTGGGAGTCCTAGTCCAGGATTCTTTTAAGGTTAACTTGCAAGTTGAGTCAGGAGCTAGGAAGGCACATACAATGTTGGCATTTATTACAGAAGGACTAGGATATAAAAGCAGGGATATACTTCTGAGGCTTTATAACGCTCTGGTCAGACCACATTTAGAATATTGAGAGCAGTTTGGGTCCCACATCTCAAGAAGGTTTTACTGGCCCTGGAGCAGGTTCACAAGAATGATCCCAGGATTGAAAGGTTTAACATATGAGGAAAATTTGAGGACTCTGGGTCTATACTCAGTGGAGTTTAGAAGGCAGAGGGGAGATCTAATTGAAACTTAGAGAATACTGAAAGGCCTGGATAGAGTGGACATTGGGAAGGTGTTTCCGTTAGCAGGAGAGACTAGGACCCGAGGGCACAGACTTAGAGTAAAGGGAAGACCCTTTAGAACAGAGATGAGGAAAAACTTCTTCATCCAAAGAGTAGTGAATCTATGGAATTCATTGACACAGAAGGCTGTGGAGGCTAGATAATTAAGTATATTTAAGACAGAGATAGATTCTTGATTGTTGAGAGGATCAAAAGTTATGGAGAGAAGGTAGGAGAATGGGGTTGAGAAACTTATCAGCCATGATTGAGTCAGCTCCGCCATGCAATGGGCCGAATGGTCTAATTTCTGCTCCTATGTCTTATGGTCTTATGAAAGAGGACCATGGTGAAGGAGTAGGATCAAGGGCATAAGAGGTGAAATGGGAGCCTCATGAGGGAAGGCTCAAAGTGCTGGTGATGGGGCTAGGTCCAGAGTCTTGGGTCAGTAATGCCTTGATTAGGGAAAAGATTGAGGATCTTGGGTGGAAGTGGGCCTGGTTAGAGAGAAGGGAATCAGGATCTAGCAAAAAGGTGATAGAGGAATGTCTTGGGTGATGTGCCTGACTCTGAAGGTTCCTTTCAGCAGGCACCTGGATCTTCCATACCCACGCCCTTTTGAAGTTGCTAAGTTACACAAAGATTTTGAAACCGAATCATTAATACTGTAAAATTTCAGAGGCAGAATGGCAATGAGATGCGCAGACATTTTATCATACAGATATTTCTGCTATAGCGTGTGTTTTGTTAACGTGAATTGACTGTAACACGATTGATGAATAGTGGACGCTGTTTGAATAACATGAACTTTCTGCTGTACAGATACAGCAATTTCCCTATAATGCGATTTTCTATGTCAATTTTCTATAGTGCAAGGTCACGCAAGAACGCAACTACCGCGTTATAGGAGAAATACCTGTATTTAAAGTTGCAGCCCACCCTCAGTTAATGGTGTTGTTTTTCATGTATGGCCAACCTCAAAGTATGAAGTTGAGCAGATTAAAGGCAAGTTTTAATCAGGAAACAGATTTGAAATATTTTAGCTGCCATCTTAACTGGTCTAACCAACAACAACAGCAATGTGGTTGACACTTAACTGCCCTCTGGGCAATCAGTGATGGGTAATAAATAATGACCTAGCAAGTGTTATGCACATCCTGTGAGAGAATAAAAACAAATCCACCTGCACCCTACCCAAACTCATCTGCGTATTTAATTTAAAATTCACTTCATATTTTCAGCACATTAGATTACTGTTTTTGAAAACTGTCCAATTAAAGCTAAATTTTCCTGAAACCAAGTAACAGCATGTTGTTTTTGTAGTGCTACTGGTATTGTTCATATTTATTATAGGATTTACTGAGCTACATCAGGTTTGACCTCGTTTAATTCCATCGATGTTGCCTAGTTTTGCATGTAAAATAATGTGGGATATAGTAGCAATAGAAAGAATTTTACTATGTGAGTTTAACTTCCTTCTAAGTTGAAAGAATACAAGTTCTGTCCACTTTGAAGGCATCACAAGTACAATACTGATAGTGTGCCTCTCAGGCTCTGATTTTCAGATGATATCTTAAACTGAGATCTTACCTGTAAGTTAAAATGAATACATGACATTCCATCATACTTCCTCTGCTCTTTGAATAATTTATTTGGTTCTGCATCAACATTAATTTTTCAATTTTTGTTATGAAAACCAGATCAATATATCAGTTACTGAATTAGCTGTTTGTGCAATCTTACTGTACATACATTAGCTGATATATTTGTCTACTCAAAAACACTAAATATACTTCAAAACTAATTAATTGCTGGTGATGCATTTTGCAGTTCTGAGAAGATGAAAGATCTGCAAGATCTCTGAAGCTGTACATCCTCTGCCAATCAAAGAATTAAACAGTCATCCTATCTGTATTACGCACCCACCTGCTGTTAAGACAAATTAGATTCCAGATGAAATCTGATTTGTCAGGTCCTAACTTTTTTTTAGGTTAGTTACTGAACGCATTCATGAGTATACTTTTAACACAGATAAAACAAAAATTCTGTTTCACTAGACAAGAGATTGGAAAAACTCGCTTACCAACATCAGGAAAAGTTTTAACTTCACATTACTTTTAATCCCTTTGATATGCCTACCAGCATTCAATCTCGGTAAAGAGTCACTATTATCTTCTTGTTAAAGGTCCCTGTTGAGACTCTTGCTCGGACAGCTGCAGCAAACACCAGAGATAGTAGATCTGTCAGTGTCCCCATAGAGAAGAGGTTCAAGCTCTGTATGTAAACATTTTATTGAATTGGAAACTGAAAGCAACGGAAATGAGATGCAACAAATCAAGGGTCAGGAAATGTAATGGGTAGAAATTATGAATAAATTATTGTAGAGGAGGCTGAATGATCTGAAATCAGACTGCATCGCAAAGCTTAAGTGAAAAGAACTGATGAATGATATATAAAAGGAAACCTGTCATATTAATTATCCATCTTGCTGTCCGGCTGACGTGTACTTGATCTGCCATGCTGTTTCAGTGAAGCTCAATATAAGTTTGAGGATCAGCACCTAACTTTTAATTGATTGAGTTTAGCATTTTTAGACCATAAACTGTGCCACCAGCATCTCAAAATTTGTTTCCTTTTCCTTGTAACTTTTAGTTTTTCTCGTCAAACAACAAACTGCTCAAGGCATTTTTAAAATTTACTTGTTTCTTCCCCTGTCCCACCACCATTTCCTTTGACCTTGTTGTCATTTAACTTCTCCTGTCTTTCACCTGTCAAAGACCTTCCTTTATCCTTAACTTACGCACCACTTACTCAAAACCTGTTATCTCTAACTTTCCTTAATTCAAACAAAAGATCTGATGCAATACAAATTCTGTTTGTTTCTTCTGCAGCTGCCTGATGTGGGTATTTCCAACACTATCTGTTTTTATTTAGTGTTATACTTTGTTTTAAGATGCCCAATGAAGCACCTTGAAATATTTCATTCAAGGTTTAAAACAATTTAACTAAATGGCTAAGTCAGTTGTCAATGAGTTGGGAATTATTGATTCCAGTTGCCATTGGTAGACTTCCATCAGTTGGGAACAGTTGGTACTGGTAGCATTCTGGTTTACTTTTACTGATTAGAAACACTTATGACTGGTGGCAGGGCTTCCACAGTCAGATTTTAAGTTTTGTTTGACTTTGGGAAAGTGAAATCATAAAAAGAAAAATATATATTGGAAAAGCCCTAAATGGTGCAGACCGCTTGGAAGGAATTCAAGGAAACGTGTCTAAATTAATGTTGTTATTAGAAAAACAAAATAAACACATGAATAAACGCCTCAATTGATACATGAATGCACACATTAAATGATACATTAATGCTCACTTTAATCAAATACTTCACAACATTAATGTACAATTCATCTCTGGGAGATATTGATTCTTGTTCAGATCTTGTGTTAATATTGGGGATGCGGGCTGTTCGTTACCTGTTTTTGACAAATTGTCTACACTTATGCTTTGTATAATGAATTAGACCTGCTGGAGGGTAGAGACAAGAAAAGAGCTAAGCAAGGTTCTACTCAATTTGTTTAGCAAAGCAACAAGATTTTGCAAGAAAACTACAGGATAGTCTCAGTTGAACATGGGTATAGCAGTGAAACAGCAGCAAGATGTATTTTAAATTAACTCATATCCTTGAGCTATTTCTCAAATAATTTATGGTGTCACACAACTCGGATGTAGTGTGCTAGAAATCAAGCCCCATTTCCTAGAGTTGCCACAATGTGAAAATTTGATTAAACCATTGACTTTTCCAATTTTACCTGTCTATTCAAGTCAAAAGAAAATGCACAAAAGGTTTTCTAGTTGAAAAGGAAAAAAGTATTTACTGTAATCAAACTGTTTATTAATGAATGGATTGATAGAAACATGAATTGCTGGCTTATAACTCTATAACTTGAACTCTACATCTTTTTAGAAATTCCCACATACAAACACACAGACTTAAGACAAGAATATTAAGGGTGGCAAAACAAAAGCAACATCGTCACTGTTCAATAGCACCAATCCAAACCTCAGGTGTTGAATTGTTTCCTTTCAATTCCTTCTGCTTCCTCCCAGTTTTTTGATGAGACAAGGTTGTTTGTACCCGGATGCTTTCTTTCATTCACTGCTTCAGAATTTGCCCCTTTCAGTGTCTCTGAAGATGGATTTTCCCCTTTTTCCTTTCAGCAGGCAAGTTGCAGAAAAAGCAATTTACAGGGAAATGGTGAGTGAGAACAGCTAATGGAGATTTTCTATTATTTCCTCACACAGTAGAGAGAAGGATTGGGATGTTTTCTTTTTGCATGCTAGATATTTCTGCTCTATTGTTTACATACAAGGTTTGTAGTCACTTACCCAGGAACCAGTCAAGTAGTTGATACTATACTGAGCCCTCCTGAACCCACAACTCTCAATTTTAAAAAAAAAACATCAAAGGGCTGTCTCTGAGCAAAATTGCCCTGAACATACATAGACATGTGCACACACCCCTATCCCAACCTATACCCACAACACAAAGCTGATATGCCTAACATTCTTCCCCCATTTCTTGAATAAGACAACATTGTAGATTCAACTCTCAATGAGCTCCAGTATCTCATTTTAAAAGCAACATCTTCCACACTGTCTGTGGCTTAAAGCATTTTTTTTTCTCCATTGTTTTCATCCATGCTTTTTAAAAAGAAAAGGCCTTAATCATGCAAAGAAATTACAAAATAATAAAATCAATAGGCCCAAAGACCTATCTTCAGAGGTTAAATGATTGCTGGCTAAAATCTATCTCTCTCTCCGCTCTCTCCTCTCTCTCAGGCTCCCCTCTCCCCCTGTGTCACCACCAACCATGACTTATGGCTCTTGATTAATACTTCTCCAAAGACTCTGCAAAGGAAATACAAGAAAATGAAAATGAGTTCTAACATGACCATAGATTAACTTTCAGATCTTGAATCTCAATTGTAGACAGAAATCTCTGTTATACTCTGCCACCTCTTTCCCTTTATCTCACTCACTGTGACTGGTTTTGTCACACTTTGATTCCAACTAACTTCGTCTGCTATTCACATGAATCAGTCAGCAATCAGCTCACAGGAATGGGACATCGGATTTCAACGTGTGGATGGTGGGATCAGGAACCAATCATGTCGTCAGCCATTGGGGTTGTTGGATTGGGAACCAAGGTGGAAGAGAGGTTTCTGCAACTAGCATGTTTATTTCACTGACAGCACCTAGTGTTTGAAATAAAATTTTAACAAATTAATCCTTAGAATAAATCCTGTAGCTGTGATCGGTGCCCTGATTCTCTGTGCCAGTTCTCTCTCCCCTCTGCCCCCCCCCCCCCCCCCCAAAAAAAAAAGTCTTGCTACATCTCCAGGTTTTCTTAATGCTCTGGCCTTCGCCCACCATGGCCTCTGCTCCCTACAACCTGTCTTGGTTGCCTTTTTCCTCCACATCTATTGTTTTCTGCTCCTGCACACTCTTAGCCCTGCTCCCCAGACACGCTTTCCAGCTTCCCCTGTCTGTCAGCCTATTGACACGCACGTACACACCCGCAAGTCTGCCCATTTGCCTGGCACTGTATGAGTGAGGGTTAGTGGGTGAGTAAGGTTGAATGTGTGCACCGAGTGACTGACAGAATGAAATTACAGTCATTCCTCCATATCTGCAAGGGTTCCATTCCTTAGAACCCCTGCAAATGATGAAATTCATGTGTGGAGCTCGTTAAAAACAGGGTAAAAGATTGCAGATACACAATTGCCCATGGATGTTGAGTTTTGTTGTTTTTTTTTGCATGATAGGTGAGTTTGTGATTTGTGATGTCACAGATAGAGTAGATTTACTGTAAGTCAGTCCCCAGTTTACTGTTCCTATCTTTGGTAAATCACAAACTTCTCATAGTCAGTGTTTGCTGAAAAATTCAAGCATAAGGTTATTTTTGGTTGGATTTACTGTTTCTTCCAGTTGCTCCTGGTACAAATTTTTCTACTCCTGATTTTTCTACTTTTTTTTCCCCTTTGGATAGCAGGCCACCTTTCTTAGAGTCATACAGCATGAAAACAGACCCTTCAGTCCAATTTGTACACACTGACTGGACATCCCAATCTGACCTTGTCGCATTTGGCCCACATCCTTCTAAACCCTTCCTATTCGTATACCCCTCCAGATGCCTTTTAAATGTTGTAATTGTGCTGCCTCTGCAACTTCTGGCAACTTGTTCCATAGACAGACCACCCTCTGCATGAAAACATTACCCCTCAGGTCTGTTTTATATCTTCCCCCACTCACCTTAAACCTATGCCCTCTAGTTTTGGACACCCCCACCCTAGGAAAAAGACCTTGACTATTTACCCTATCCATGCCCCTCTTTATTTTGTAATCCTCTGTAAGGTCACCACTCAGCCTCTAACCCCATGCTGTTCCTGTTCTGGGAGTGTTTGATAGGGGAGTGTCGAGGAGAATTTACTTTCTGTTTAAAAGAGTGAAGTGGTATTCTATAGGTTACTACCCACCTCAAACCCCCTCCCCCTACCTAATAGTTAGATGTGTGTAAGTGCTCCTTGTTAGCTAAGGTGGAAGTCCATGGAATTGATGACAAACTACTGACATGAATAGGAAATTGTTTGAGTGGCAGAAAACAGAGTTGGAATAATGGGTAAGTACTTGAATTGGCAGGATGTGACCAGTGGTGTCCTGCAGGAATGAATGTTGGGATCTCATGTATTCACAATATTCATTAATGACTTGGATAATGGCATAAAAAGTCAAATATCCAAATTTGCTGACAAGACAAAACTGGATAGCATTGTAGGTAGTGTTGACGACAAGCATAAAATTACAACAGGATATTGATAGCTTTGGTAAATGGGCAAAGCTGGGGCAGATGGATTTTAATATAGGCAAGTCTGAAGTTATCCATTTCAGGCAAGTTCTATTTCTCTGTGTCTGTGCAGAATTTTCCCCTTTGGTTTTCAAACTTTGGGACAAGTGCTTTCTGTGCTGACCAACTCAACTGCTGAGAAAGAAAAAACACCATATCTCTCGCCAATTAGCTCATTTACAACTGATTGGTAAGCTTTAGTTTAGGTGAATCATAAGCCTCAATGCTGGCATCTCAGATCGCCAAAAGCTGCTAGCCAAATAAAGATCTAAAGTCTGCCGATTGTGGCCTACTCAGGTTATTCAGTAGTGGGACTCTTCGTACTCCCCATATTTCTGCCGCATAAGGTTGAGGGATGGCTTTCAGAGACCATCCCTCACCTGTGCTTCCAATTGCCAAGCCCACTCCCTTGCCCAACCCAGCAGGTCGGTTGCCCTGGTTTCCCAGTTGGGAAACTGACCCTCTCTTGCTCATAAGGAGTGACAGATGATGGAGTAGGTGCAGAGGTGAGGCCTCAGGTGTCCATTAATTGACCAATTATGGGCTTTAATTTGTGGCAGGTCAAGAAAATCACCCATGGACTGTCTTGCCAGACCTTAAGTGAGTTGGCAAGGAGGGGGTGAGCCTTTTTCCAGAAAGACATTGTCCCATATTTTTTGTCACCACCTTTCTTGCCACCTCCAAGGAAGGAGAAATCAGACCCACAGTATTCAGATCCAGTTATGTTGTTACACACTCAAACTGGATAATATGACCTTTCTTTGAAACTATTGTAGACTCAGTGACTCTAGGCAAGCAGCTTGTATTCTTTATAAATGCACCTGTTGTTTTCACTGCTGTAGCTAGTCATCTTTGCAAGCCATTATTTCCAAATGGTCCAAAGTAGGAAAAAGAAGTCCAATCAATAATCTAAATTGATGTTTCAGATAACATATCTTATAACAGTATAATGTTTGGTGTACAGAAATTTGTACTTGCCAGAAACGAGTCACTAATGTGATATTTTCTTTTACTAGGCACATGAGGATCCCATGTACGATTTAATTAGAGAAAATAAACGGTATGAAAAGGAAACCAGGTAAGCATTGTGATAGCAAGCATAGACTAATAGTGGAAATAACTGTCTGTTCCATTACTGATTTAAAAACACAATGGAAATCATGAAAAACATGGAATGAGATATATTAAAATGTGTGCCTAAAAACATTAGGGCAGTGTTTTCCAAATTTTTACCATGTTCTGAGGCTTGAAAAATGATGAGGGGGAGGAAGACCTGTGACAGTGGGAATCTGTCTGCTAGAGTGAGAGTGCAGCTTTTGTAACTTGGTCAGGCCTCCATGGTGGCCATTGCTGCATTGGAGCTCCTTTTATTCTTCATTCATTCACAGGATGAGGGCATCACTGGCCAGGCAGCATTTATTGCCCATCCCTAATTGCCCAGAGGGCAGTTAAGAGTCAACCACATTGCTGTGGGTCTGGAGTCACATGTTGGCCAGACCAGGTAAGGATGGCAGTTTCCTTCCCTAAAGGGCACTGACAATGTCAGTGACAATTGACAATGGATTCACAGTCGTCATTAGATTTTTAATTCCAGATATTTATTGAATTCAAATTCTACCATCTACTGTAGCAGGATTCGAACACGGGTCCCCAAAACATTATCTGGGTCTGGGGATTAACAATCCAGCGATACTACCACGAGACCATCCAACCTCTCTGCACCCCGACTGCCCCCTCCCCCAACCCCACCGGCGGCTTGTAACTTCAAAGTTTGTACTCATGCCCCTTCTTGGGTATTTTTTTGTTTGTTCAGGGGATGTGGGTGTAGCTGGTTGAGCCAGCATTTATGATCCATTCATAGCTGCCATTGAGAAAGTGGACCCGCAATGTAGGGGAGGGAGTTCTAAGGTCTTGACCCAGCAACACGGATGGCATATATTTCCAGTTCAGCATGGTGTGTGGCTTGAAGGGGAACTTACAGTTGCACCCAATTTTCTTGACTTTTAGACCCAGGCTGAAGTATGTGCAAAATATTTTTTAAATAGTCCTGGAGAAAATAATTGAGATTAAAGTTTGAACAATTTCCAAATCTAATTGTTTCCATTCCAGGATATTACAAATTGTAGTTGGGGAAATTGATGTCTTGTCATGATCTTCCAAAGCTCTTCTAATTTAGGAATGCTCCCTCAGTTTGGAAACTGCCAGTGTCACTCCATTATTTAAGAAGTGCTAAACAACATAAAATTAGAAAATCATAAGCTTTTACTCTTATATTCTTATTAAAACAAAATTCTCCTTGAAATAGAGGACCAAAGCTGTGTGTGGTACTCAGTAAGGTCTCATCTACATCCTTTAGTGTTGTGGTATACTTCCCTACTTCTTTATTTCATTCCTCCTGCAATATAGCCTGGAATTCTGTATGTCTTCCTAATTATTTAAAAATATATTAATTGGGAGCAGAGGTAGGTCATTCTACCCCTCAACCCTGCTTCGCTATTCAGTAAAAATGTGGTTTATCTGTTTGTTTTGAATTCCACATCCTCATCTATCCCCAATGACCTTAGATTCTTCTGAGGTAAGGGAATAAATCTACCTCCACCTTTAAAAATATTTTGTGTCCTATCTCTACTACCTTCTGAGGCAGAATTCCAAAGTTGCACAACCCTGAGAAAAAAATTTCCTCATCTGTACTATAAGGGTATTTGTCTTTAAGTGTACCAGAACATACTGAAACATAGTATTTCACTTAAGCAATTCTTCCAACCAAAATGGATAACTTGATATTTTTTGCCACATTATAAATCACATGCCAGTTTTTTCCTCACACACTTAACCTATATTCCATTGCAGACTTTGCATCCTAAAAACTTCCTCTCCTACCTATCTTTGTGACATATGCAAATTTGGCTTTGGTTGCTTCATCCAAGTCATTAATGTATATTGCAAATATTAATTAGGCAATTGATTGAACCTATCTCCTATCGATGATTTAAATAAATTGTGTCCTTTTTTTCTAAGTTGAATAGATTTTCTCTGGTAATTGAGTGTGTTCTAGTTGAAATAAAAATAACTCACTTTTTAAAAAATCCTGAATAAGCATCGTTGCTTATTTTAATTACTATAATGTGACACTTACTTTCTTTTAGGATACAACAGCTGAAACAGATGTTAGAGGACACCACATCAGACAGTAACAGTTCCAGCTCCTCAGATTCTGGAGATAGGCACAAAAAGAAGAAAAAGAGAAAAGAGAAGAGGAGAAAGAAGGAAAAGAAGAAAAGAAAGAAACACAAGTCCAGAAAATCAAGTGATAGCTCTGAATAAGACAAAAGACTGAATTGTTTTCTTTTTCTTCAAAAGAAATATTTATGTTCATATGTACATTCTGCAGCTTCAGAAATTGGGTACCTTAATCAGAATGGGGAAAAACTGTAGAAATAAACCCGATACCTGAACTTGATTAAAATTAACATGCTTCCCTTTCTGACAGAGTATGCACACATTGGGTTGGATTTTATGTGCCCTCACCACGGTGTTCCGGATGAAGTAGATTGCGTGTAAAATGGGGTGGTTACTCAACCCAGCATCTTCCCACACACCCTGAGTTCACTTCCATAACTTGGTAGATGGGCTGGCATTGAAACAGACAACCTGCACAACATGTTGAAATAATTCAGCTATACAAGTAATTGTTGGGTAGTTTAGAACTTGAGTATTGCTGAAAAAGCCACATCTTCTCAACCCTTTTTGTGTTGTAAGCAGCGGGGTAACTCACAAGTAATAACAAAGTAAAAGGATATACCTTTATACCATATGAGAGGAGAATGTTGATTGGTTGGCAAATGGACTCTGGTAGATGTGTTGCCATGGAGAATGTATCTGTTAATGATGACTTACAGTTAACTGCTAAACTTTGTTTAAATATCAATGTTAAACAAGGCAGGTTGACATTGCCCTGAGAGAGGCAAACCACAGTGGCTGATGCTTGTTTTACTGCATTGAAACAGACACCATGTTCTGTTTGCAAAATATAGCATCTTGTGTATTAATATTTATAGCTGTCAGTACATGTAAATGGTGCCATGTTGCAACCCAAGCCGACAATCTTAAATTAATTGCCAGCATGATGCTTTACGCACTCTGGATTATGTAGCAAATGCTGTTGAATTGCAGAATTGATTCTCATTGAGTTTTGCAAGTGCAAGCTGGTTGGGTGCAGTCATCACCTTGTTTTTTGCTAACAGCTAAAGGGATGTGCTGTTTGATGCAATTTGCCAGCCTTTGAGACATATGGCCAACATATCCAGCATCATACCACTGAAATTACCCTTTTCATTTTCTCAATTCTCATTCGCGTCAGAGGTGAAAAGTCTTTTGGTTTGATGGCAGCCTGAGTAGCACTTGTGTTTCTATTGCATAGTAGTGATATGAAGCAGCTAGCTTCACCTGCCGCTGAAATATTTGAAATATCTTACCCTTGAATGGTAATCTAAGGTGGACCAGGCACCTTTCAGGACCAAAAATGGCAGTCTTGTGTCCTTACATAATTTTGCACTATGTGTGGTAGGAAAACATCTGATTATTTGCCATCACCCTACAGGACGGCTTTGATACATCCCTATTTCAGCGTCTACCTTGCACAGTGAATAAGTGGTGGTGCTTGTGATGCAAGTATTTCTTGTCATTATCCTAATAAGTACCAAGGCAAAAGCTGCAAAAAATGTGCCTTTTCTTTCTAGCAATATTCAAATAATTGAGTCAATTAAGCTTGGTACCATACCAATTAACCCCAATAATAGACAGAATACTGGAGAAACTCCGCTATGGAGAGAGAACGTGAACAGTTCAAGTCTGGTATGATATATGAAAGGTGTTGGAATTTTAAAAAATATATATACTTCTGACTATGACAAAGAGGTTGTTAACGATAGAGAAAGAGAAACACCTATAAAGGTGTAAAAATGAGAAAAGAAGGGATTGGGACCTCTACTAAGAGAAAAATAAACAAGGTATAAGACAAAAATGTGGTGGGGATGGGGAAGGACATGTAAGAAAAATGGGGAATGGACAACTGATTGCATTATGTCTGTTCTTCACTTTTGCATTCTGCCCCAAAGCCTTTTGTCTCTTGCATTGCCTCTGCCTCTGTCAAGATACAAAAATAAAATTTCCAACACCTGTTTATTCTGAAGCAGATTCATATTGGAACTGAAATGTCAACTTTGTCTCTCTGCCGCACCTGCTGAGTTTTGTCAGCATTCTGTGTTTGTTTCAGATTTCTGGAGTCAAGGCAAAATACTGCAGATAGCAATGTCATACTGCCATGCAACAGTAAAGTTGGCCTGGGCAGGTGTTCTTTAATTTGGAGGTGCCAGGCAATCTGGCCAGCAGCTCCAGAGAATGAGATCTCCTTTCACTGAAATGCAGAAGTCCCACTGGGCACCAATTTAACCTGCTTCCAGCATGTTTAGGCTGCATGGCAGGCTTCTTGTAGGCCCATCAGCTGCCTGCTGAGTTTCCTTCTGTGGCGGCAAGCTCTTTGCATCAATATAAAATTCTGTCCATTGAATTCGTGTGTCCAGCTGGTGTACACCTGTCTGTTTTGCCAGATCAAACCCTAGTCTTGGTGGGAACGTTTTGATTGTAAAAAATTTTAGCTAATGATATTACTTTTAGTTCTTAGTCAAATGTAGTATAAATGTACCTTATAACAATTGAAATCTGGTGTAGGAACACAATGACAAAGTGACATTCTAAAGCTGTTCTGTTATGTTCTACTGGAAAGGCAATGGGAAAAAATAGCAAGGTTTTGTGGAATACAGCAACAGGTGATATTTTTGCTGTGTTTGTGATGTTAATCCTAATTAATTTCCAAGTGTTGTACCCCTGTGACTTAGATTTATCAAGATATTGCTAATTTTTAGGTGACAGAAGTGTTATGCACGTTATGTTTTTAAAAGGGCATGAATGAATCAACATGTAGCAATGAGATTGAGTTTGTTTGTGAATTGCAATAAAGCTTTTGGATTGTACCATTGACAGATCAAGAATTCTGTAAAGCTCCTTCACAAGCAATAGATACTTTATTTCCATATCCTTCCTTGTTTTAACCTCTTATGAAGCAAAGGTCAAACTTGTGAAACATGATCCCTCGGTATAGTAGATGCTTGGAATGTTCTAGATCTAACATTGCGGGTATGGGGTGTTCAGTTCAGGCAGTCAATATTGTGCTTCTTAAAATATTTTTTATTTCCGTAACTTTAGGTTATCACATTTACGTAAAAATTTGATTGGCGAGGCAGTTTGTTCTTAGCAATAGTCTCTTATTTAATAATAGCAGGAAATGGAAATAACAGAACTAGCAGCATCTGTGGAAAGAAAAATAGTTAACATTTTGGTTAATTACCTTTCATTAGAACTGCTGAATTGGCTGTCCTGTAGAACTCTATGACTCTAACAGTAGACAAGCTCCCCCTATATACTGGGCAACAATATGACACTTTTTAGTAACTTCACTGTTTATTGTTGGTGCATTCCTGTATAAGAATCAGAATCAAAGAATTCCTACAGTGTGGAAACAGGCCCTTCAGCCCAACAAGTCCACACCAACCCTCCGAGCATCCCACCCAGACCCAATCCCCTATTACCCACCTAATCTACACATCCCTGAACACTATGGGCAATTTAGCACAGCCAATCCACCTACCTGCACATCTTTTGGACTGTGGGACGAAACCCGCACAGACGCAGGGAGAATGTGCAAACTCCACACAGTCACCCAAGGGTAGAATCAAACCTGGGTCCCTGGTGCTGTGAGGCAGCAGTGCTAACCACTGAGCCACTGTGCTGGCCTAATTAGCTACAGCATTTTCCAATGTTATAATGACAGCATCTTAAAAATGGTTCATTAGCTGCACAATAGAAACAAAAGAATCATTATAAACAAATGTCCATTCTTTCTGTGAGTGGTATCATAAGTATTCTTGCCACTTTTAATTGATCAACATGCGTTTCAATCTGTAGCAATTTATATAATTTCAAGTAAATTGGATATAGAGGCTGAAAAGAGTTCAGAGAGATAGAAGCAGTAGTGAGAATGAGAAGAGGTGTAGTGGGAAGGAGATGAGTTTGGGAATATGATGAGAGCAAGGTAGTAGGGAAGCATAAAGGAATGGTGAAGAAGCAAAAGGAAACATGCTGGAAAAAAGCAATGAAATATTAGGAACCAAAGATATTGTGAAAATATTTAACTCAAATTAGCGACAGCTAAAGATGAGAAACCACAGCAGGATTTTTGTCCATGCGACAAGGGTATGAGGGATCAAGGCCAAAGAAGTCTTCTGTTGAATACCCCCTTCAAGAAAAGTTGCACTCTTTCACTTTAGTCATCCCTGTTTGCTCTCTTTGCTGTGTTTAAATTAATACAAAGTCAGAAGTCACAATACCAGGTTATAGTCCAACTGGTACTTTTTTGCTGCTCCTTCATCAGCTAAAGCTTGTGATTTCAAATAAACCAGTTGGGCTATAACCTGCTGTTGTGTGACTTCTAACTTTGTCCAGCCCAGTCCAATACCAGCACCTTCATGTCATAATACAAGTTAAGAGAACATGGTAACCTCAAGGATTCAACCCTCCCCTGTCTCTTCTAGAGTCAAAGAATTACCTCAACAAGACTGGCAGGTGGATTGAAGTAGAGTAGTTGGATAGCTTTCTACATATTCACCCCAAAATTATTCATCAATCCTCAAGCTGGTTCACTTGGAGACAAATGCAGTTTTTCTTATTTACATTTAAATTTGCTTTGGAGCTGCTATAATGATTTCCCTCATGTTCCAGTAATGAAACACAATGGCAGAAGTGGGGTGGAGGTGTTTATTTAAGTGACAAGAACATTCCTTTCAAAACAGTTTCTGTTGTTAAGTAGCTAAGAATCTACTGT